TGGCTGGCTGGGGAATTCTGGGAGTTGAAGTCCACCCATCTTAAAGTTGCCAAGGTTGAAAGACAGGGATCTACCACATCAGCAGACACTGTAGTAATTTAGTTTTCCTACCTATCTCTGCCCAAGGCAGGGAACATAACAGGAATTTATGGCCTGTGAGTTTTCAGAGCACTATCGTTAACTAATGCTGGGATTCTTGAACTGTGGGTTGCAAACCTCTGGGGAGTTGTGAGCAAATCTGAAGCAGGGAGGTTGCGCTCCCTCTACCTGGACACAGCTGGTCTTTGCTGACCTGCTGGTGCTGGGCAAGGCTGTGTAGAGGATCCAGGTGCTACGGTTCTCTCTGTGCTTGCAACACTTCTCACAACAGCTCCAAAGGAGTTCCTCCTGAGTTGCATCCAAGGGAAGAGGCCAGGATTGAGACACTCTTAGCCTCCCGCTCCCCATCTTGCAAGGGCAGCTTCTTCTCAGATGGGTCCTAGTAGTGATCCTACACGCTCCCTCCAGGAGCATGCTGGCCTCCCATTACTAAGTGTCCACCTCCTGCAAGAAGCCAGCTTGTTCAGGCAGAGCGGGATAACCAGAGTCTGACAATTTTATTTGAGGGAGGGGGAGTCCCACACATTCTTTTTTCTTTTTCATAAGGACACAGCACCATCATGTTTAAGTACAGCATTCATCTCAGGCTCTCAGCTACAAGTTTCGTAGCTGAACCGTCTGGCCTCATTTTTGAACTTTGTTTCTCAGGGAGGGTTTGCTTTTTGGAGTATCTTCATCTAGGAAGAGTTCTGGGACATTTAAAAGGTTGCACTTTCTTTCATACCAGTACAGGGAACAAACTGGTTTTTTCCCCTTATGAACCAGTCTGATGATTTCTTTTCAAACGCCTTGAAAAATACTACCTTTAACTCCCTAGCCTGGAGTCTACTTCAGAAAAAGATGACTTGCAATAAACTCAAGAGAGCCCTGACCTGCTGAAGGTTTCCAACTCTTCTACCCACCTTTTCTACAAGGAATACTACACTATTTGGCATACCTGATTTTGCAACCTCCTGCAACAAAATTATCCTTTCGGCGTTGCTAATATAGAGAATAGGAGAAGATAGAGCAGAGGCAATAAGTCATTCCTTTGGTCCTTCTCTGTTTGGTGTAACCTGATTCCTATAGCACCTATTTTGAACTAACACACTCAGTCATCATTCTTTATTTTGAGACTGACTTTGGACCACCGAGCGCGTGGCTAAAACGTATGGCCTAAATTCTGGACCTCTTTCTAGCATTCAACATTTCAGCTACTTGGAATGTTCAATATCCTTGCTGTGACATCAGAGCATCTCAGCCAATGACTCTAATGCCTCAGGTAGCCTGTTACCTTTGCAGGATGAAAAATCTGAAAGCAGATGTCTACTTTTAGGTGAACATGAGCGCTTTCAAAATACTACATTCTCCAATAGAAGAGAATATCTGTAGCTCAGAGTTGAACTGTGGAGTCATTGGTGCTCTCTGAGCTTGGTGGTTTGTGTGCAGACGTTTCATGACCCAACTAGCGAACATCATCAGGGTACTGATGAAGTTACCTAGTCGGATAATAAAACGTCTGCAAGCAAACCACCAAGCTCAGAGAGCACCAATGACTCCATACTACATTCTTGTTATTTTGTTGGAGAGATGGCACATAAAGCCACAGGGGGTTTCTTACCTGTGACAACAGCCCATTTTCCATACTGCTTGCTTAAGTCAGGCCTGCCAAATATCCGGGGAACGAAATGCACTCTGATCAGCACATATGTGTCATTCAAGATGGTGACGCACACCTTGGTCGCATAGAAAGCTCCAATCACCGCCAGCATCTCTATGCCATAGTTGTATGACCGTCCGATCTCCCGCAGCAACAGGGAGAAACTGTCCACCGCGGCCATTGCAACCAGCTACCTTGAAAGGGAAAATACAAGAGATACAAATTAGGATAAAGTTATTACACACGCACACACACCATGCCCTTCCTCCAAGGAGCAGAGGACTTCAAATATTGGAAGCTCCTGGGGTGACTGGGGGCCAGTCTCTCTCAGTGCAACCTACCTCACAGGGTTGTTGTGGGGAAAAATAGGAGGAGGGCATAGCATTGGCTACACCCTCCCACCCCCATTGTTCTCTTATTCACAGGAAGACAGCCAAGCATGCACAGTAAAAGGTACATATAAAACCACAGTGAGTATCCCACAAAAAGGGGTACAATCAATATATAACAAACTTAGTGCCTTAAGGGCCAGTGTCTAACAGGAAACTGCTGGCTAGCAATTCTCTTTATGTGTACCATACCCATATGCCACAGAGGCAGGGTGATGACCAGATATCTGAACAGGTAAAGGAGGACATGGACAATTGGAAAGGAGGGCAAATGGGGGTGGGGGGGAAGACACATGAACTCCTTAACTTTCTTGGTATTTGCAACAAAAATTACAGTGAAAAACTGCAAAAAATGTAAGTAGGCTTACCTGTCTATGAAATTACTTTTTCCAGCCTTAGAAAGACAGGTTTTGGAATTGCAATGTTTTTCCACCCAATCTTTATTTTCAAGAACATATGCTAGTGATCATATAGAATCGACAACGACACACTTTTCAAATTTCACCCTAGAAACATTGGATGAGTTACGTGATCTCCGGACTCAAGTGTTTGTAGCACTGAAGGGGCTGCACTGAAGCCGACGGCTGGAATCAGGAAATAAATTAAATAACTTAAATCTAGGTTGTTGAGCCTGCTGATCAACGAGGGAACGAAAGAAGCAGACAATTTGCAGACATTCAAAAAGCCAGACAATATTTGATTTTAAGGCTGTGCCTGCCAGGCAGACGGTGAAAAAGAGGACGCGTCCTCCTTTTGCCAGACTGGTAACCTGACAGAGGGAGCATGGCCGTACCCACCTTTTGAAGGAAAGATGGAACATAAATAGCTTGGCATCATTTGCACATTTGGCTGGCACACGGCTGGCAAGCCCCACACGGCTGGCAAACTCAAAAACCACAGGGATTTCAAAGGCCCCGTTATTGCAAGCCAGGATATAAACATAATCTTGAATAAATTCCTAGGCAGATTAAGGGCAAGCCAATTAAGGCTTATTTTTTATTTAAAAAATAAACTCTGAAACGTTTATCTTTTTCCCCAGGGCCCGCAACTGAATCCCCCGCCTGGTCCTCCCCGCCTTTCCCGCTGCAGTCGCTCAATCCCATGGCAATTTGGTTTATGGCCTGAACGCCACCGATAATTATTTTTAAACCACGGGTTTTTATTTTTAATCCCTGGGATTTCTTTGCTATCTCAGGAATGACGCAGCAATTTAAAATTTCTAATTGCAGCAGGCGTCTCTGCTCTATCCCGACGTGGCAAACACGATTTGTAAAATCTATCTATCTATCTATCTATCTATCTATCTATCTATCTATCTATCTATCTATCTATCTATCTATCACATTTGTATCGCCGCCCATCTCAGATCTGCTGATCAATAGGATGCCAAAATCCATAATTGCTTTTTAAAGGCTTATCCGTCATTGCCTTTAAAAAGCAAAGAGGCAACGACAAATCCCCCACTTCCTTTTGCTTTATTCACCTTGCCAGGCGCTCCCCGATGCAGGTGGGCTTTGCATCACAACGTGACATCTGCAAGATTGTAACTTCCCCCTAATTCAACATTGTCATTGATTAAAACCCACCGTGCGTTCTAGCTCGTAGGAAAACTCGGAAAGTGGAGTTTGAAAACCACCCGGCAAAGGCAATTGGCACTGAATCCAATTCTGGAGGATTTACAATCCGCGTTTTCCATGTCGCTAGCGTTAGGACACCCTTCCTCTCCAAATGCTGGGCTCCCAGATCCTGAACGCGGTGTAGTAAAAAGCAATCGCGAATCTAAAGATCCCGTGTTTCTACTTCTTCTATGGCGACTCCTTTTTAAATAGAACAGTTTTAAAAAATCGAATATTGGGTCACGAATTAATTTGGGCGAGTGGCTCTAACGTATTATAGCAACGCTATTATATATATCTTCCTGAAGGATTTATGTCTGATTCAGTGGAAGAGTTACAATGATGTTAGAGCTACATTTTACAAGCTTTATAAGAAGGAGTCCCTCCATTATGACAACAGGAAAGGTTCTCTTTTGTAGTTTAATTAGGGCGACTGGGGGGAAGAACATCCTTGATCGTCACGACAATCGCAAACTTTTGCTCTTTTCCACTGATGTTCTCAGACTGTGTTTCTGATGTCTAAACCCGAAATATGGCTCCTTGAAACTAAACTAGTCTAACCTTTCATATCTCTAGTAGCCCAGCCTCGGTTTTGGAGCGCTTGGGACTGGAAGCAAGAGACGCCGCCAATCGGGACGGAAGGCGGGGCTTAGCG